TTTGTTATAGCAGAGTAAAGCCAATCCAACCTGAAGTCGTTTGATTGTAGCAGTTAACCTAGCCTGCATCTGGACAGGAAGATTTCTGAGACATTTTGGCCAACAGCATGAGCCATAGAATTCTGAATATTTAAATGAAAAATAGCTAAATAGCAGATAGTGAGTGGAATCTGAGGCTACATTCATCACAGACAAGCCCTGCCAGCTGCAGCAGAGGGCTAGTGAGAGTTAGAAATGCCACAGATGAAATAAGAAATAGATCCAGACTTTTGTCCCCAAAGACAATAGGCCTTATAAATTGCAGAGAGGTCATTCTGGCCCCATCATAATTGCTGAGCTGATGGACGGGAATAAAAAGAAACAGATTATGGTGCATGAGCAAAGCACCACAGTATTGCTGCATATTGTGAGTGCTTGGACATTTTGTTCTGAAGCTGGAATAAACCATAAGCAAACAGATAATTTCAGAGCCTGCATACTGAATAACAGCTTGAGAAATGATGCAAGTCACTTGAAATATGACAGTCCAAATCTTCCAGCAGCTGCTATCACGTTCCCTAAACAGCAGACAAAAAAGACACTGCACACACCTTCTGCAAAACATACACAAACAAATTTTCTTGCAAGCACAAACAGACACAAAGGCTTTTGTAGATTTGTGAAGTCCTGCATGCAGAAAGCACTGCAATGTGTCAAACTGCAGCGTCTCCTATAAATCCCTTTACTCCCTCTCTGCAGGACGCTGCTACCTTTCAACTAAACAACTTCAGACTTTGACTTTTTTCTTTTTTTTTTTAATTTTCTTTAGTACAGGAACCTTCTATAATTTCTTCATAAAATACAGGACCAGAAACCACTGTGAAGTGTTTCTGGGTAGAGACGTTAACACTGAGCCTGGGTAGCACACTGTGTGTGTCTTTGCATGCCTTCCTTTATGGACCTTCCCCTGTCCTTTGAGAGGAATGTGGAGGCAATGGCGCATCTAAGCATCACTAATAGAGTGTAACTAGAGAAGCAAGGAGAGTCCTTTCCTTTTAAAAAATGTTACTCCCAGAACACGCTAGTGGGACCTCAGGGCTGTGTTTATCACAGGTTAACCCTGCCAGCTGCAGCAGGAGCTGTCTAGTGAGGGCTAGAGATACCGTGAACAAAATAAGAAATGGCTCCAAACTTTCGCCTCAAACCACAAAACAGACTTGAAATCTTTCCCTAAGTTTGCAAAACTTTAATTCATTGATATCTACAAAACTAATTTTAGAGCTGAATAGAAGACAAAGAACTAAAGTCAAGTCATCAATAGGATGAAAGTAATAGAAAATTCTTTCTGTTTAATTGGAATTTGTCTTACTCAGAATATAACATCAAGTTGTAGTTTATATGCCTAAAACGTATCAGACAACATAACACATGGCAAAATAACTTCTGTGGAATCAAAGCAAAATTTGGGCAGCACAAATGTCAGACAAAGATTTTAAGATATCCTTGATGTAGCTAATTATACTCTGATTTTTTCTGAAAGAAATACAGAATTTTTGCCTTTTTGTCACGTTCTATCAATCTGATCACTGCTGAGGTCTTTATAAAATGTTGGAGGATTCTGACCTTCCTATGAGATATTTGGAGTCACATGAAGCATCTGACAGAAGAAATACTCCCATGTAACATTCTGCAGCTTGAGTATTTGCACACACAAATAGGCAGGAATGCAAGATGCACAATTTTCCCATTAATTTAGACTTTCCCAAGAGAAATGTATTGAAAATACATTCATTTCTAAGTCCTGTGAGATTAGGCAAATGTAAATAATGCCAGTTTTTACTGAAAAGAATTGCATTCTTTGTCTTGCTCCTAGTCCAATGTGGGGATTAACAGACAAAATAATAAAAACAGCACAACTAATAAGGGGCAGTCAGAATTTCCATTTTGCTGGGATGAGTGAAATTTGTGCCAAGCAATATTTTGCATTCCTCCCCAAATCTAGATGGTCTGATAGTCTAAATTCATACTCATATGCTCCAAATGCCAACAAACCCACTTTTGTTTCAACTGAGAATCAAGACACAGAAGGGATTAAAGACCAATAAATTACAGGCTGTAGAACAAGGGAAAAAATTATCTAGCAGATTCTGCTTTTGTTGCTGTCGTTGGAGTAAATTCCAGACTCCTACCAGCTTTGGGTTTTGGGAGATCTTACTGGGAAAGTCAAGGGCCCATGCTTCAACAAAATCTGGGTATTTATCCTTGTGTAAAACACAGTCTCATTGCCTCAAGAACACTGTTCACCATTTCTAGTTACAGACTCTTTCTGAACTACAGATTCAAACAGCATCACATCCTCTCTTTACTACCTTGACCTGGCACCAAAATTCCCTATGTGTCAGAAGACAGGGATGTATTTAGACCATGGGCTTTGAGCAGACTGTGCAGTACAGAAGAGATGTTTAATCTTCCAAGCCTTTCCCCTTTCCTCATGTCCCATCCTGATACATGAGTTGGGTATAATAAGCTACAACTTAACAACTTTGTTGTTGAAGTTGACCTTTATCTTGCAGCCCTAATGAAGTCTTTTGATGTGCTCCTAAGATACACAGCCTCCTTTTTAGCATTCTGTTTGCCTTGCCTCCTTTAACTGGTGGGCTCACAGAGAACGTAAGTTTTCATACAATGCCTCCCTTGGGTGCCAATTGTTCTTTTCTCCCATAGTTGCCCTTGAGTCATGCCGTTCTGAAACATCACCAGCCCACAAGCAGCCTGACAGTGGGAAATTAGGACAGCGTGTCTTTCACACCAATGATGAGCACACACATTTGGCCCTACATTATCATCACCACCGACAGGAGAAATACGGAAGCGGAGTGGGTAGAAAGAGATGAGGCTTGTATGTGTAGGGGAGATAATTAGGTAAAATACAATGGAGAGGGAACTACTGGTGTGACAGATAATGTGGAATCAAACTGCCACCCGAGCCCTTTGCGGTTCAATCCTCTCCTCCTGAAAGCAGCTGCTCTTAGCAAGAGTTTGAAAACCTTCCCCAGAAAACCAGGCATGTGTTCTCTATTAGTGATTTGCATTTAAAAAAAAAAAAAAAAAAAAAGTGATTGGGAGCTACATACCCTGTAGGCACACTGAGCAAATTGGCCAGCCTAATTATTATTTTTTGGTATGTCTAATTAAATAGACAAAAGGCTCTCCCTTCACTCCCGCTGTCAGCACGAGCTCCAGTGGAATGTGCATAATGTCCCCTCATTTGCCCAAGCAGCTGAGCCTTTCCCTTTCCCCATAGGAGATCCACACTGACAACTGCCCATAGCTTACCCACACCTACTAAGACATGGAGCCAGATCTTCAGAGGGGAAGGAAAAGGGGGCAAATTGACCCTGTTCTGTTAAAAACCACTAGAAGATGCTGCCTTGTGTGACATGCTTTGTTGCAGATTAGAAAAGTGCTCTGTCCCTTGATAGAACTTGCCACTGCAGAGCCTTTTGCAAGCTTTCTGTACACCGCTAGCAAACCCCCCTGAATTTACTTTATGGGGACTCCAGAAGTGCCATATTTATCCTTGGACTTCTGGGCACTTTTCCAGTATTCAGTTCTTGCCCTGCTTTGTGATTACACGGCACCGCAACTCTTCCTTACAGAGCCTCTGCCAACCTGCTGGTTTCACCACTCTGTGACACCAGCCCTCTAACTATGAGCTGTGTACAAAATCTTCCAATGACTTGAGTCACTGGAGAGTTTCAGCCTCACACTGATGCAGTCAAAGCATCTGGAATCCAAAGCTTTCAACTGAAAAAGAATACAATTTCAGGGCCTTTTGTCTGCAGGACATTTTGCTCCTTTTCAGTAGCTCATGCTGGGGAATTTCCACTAATGTCAACACAAAGATAGAGTCACATAAATGAAGAAAAGTTTATGTCTATGTTGAAAATTAAAGAGTTTTCATATAACGCATGGCCAAATCATCACTAGATGACAAAATCTATTCCCATGTTTCTATGATACCTAAGCACTACTGCTTTAACTGCATATATTGACAAAAGCCTCTAGTTTGTGTTGTTTTTTTTCAGCCAAGCAGATAGGTATAGAGAAGAATGAATGCCATTATATATATAATATATTTATATATATATATATGTATATTTATATATACATAAATATGCAAATTTAAGAAAATAGAATGCAAACTAGTCCTGCATAACTGATGATGTTACCCATTCTTAGTGAGCTCTGTATTTGATCTGACAAACAGGCCCCTACCAAGCATGTATGCTGTAGTACCACAAAATCAGTTGTGAAAGAAAGCCTGTGAGAAAAAAAGCAGAAAGAAACAAAAACCTGTCAGAAAGAAAACCTGTCAGAGGAAACACCTTATCACCAGTGATCAATGGAATGGTCACTTAGCAAAGCCTTCCAAATCCACTATGCAGGATGGAAAAGAGAAAGACCAGCTCCTTACTCCAGCTACATCTGTACAAATCCTGAATAACTCCCTTTTTCTGAGAGAAGCCTTCAGCTTCCACAACATGTTTATCCACATAAGCTGATGCAGGTGTAGAAAACTCTTAAAATTTACCTTGTCCAGGACCAGAGTTGTTTCAGTTCAAGGAGAAACAACATGGTCAGATAAATCGTAAAATGTCTGCTTTATCCTAACCACATTAAACACCTCTGCAGCTCAGCAGAACATAGGTCTGAAAAACCTATGTTGCCGTCATTGCTGTTAAACTTTGTTAAGTCAGTGCCTGATGCTTCACTTCTTAACAAGGCAGTTATTTGTTTCCCAGGCAATCTCTGGCACCTGCCTGCCTTTTAAAATCAAATAATAATTGAACATGAGGAAAGCGAGACGAAGTAAAGGAGATTTAATAAAGAGAATCTTTGCTGCAGAGGGAATTTCTTTGGCAGTGATTACGTTACTAATTGATCAGCACATTGCCTGAGAGAAGCCAGAGACAACAATTATACTTAGCACTGTAGCTGAAAGCAATGCAGTCAACTACCTCCTCGGCTTTCGCTGTCCGCTGGTTTCACCTGGATCGGTCTATTCATCTGTAAGAGAAAACGAAGAGAGACAGATATTTAACAATGGAATTGAGCATTCATATATAGAGTCATGCATCATAGTAAGCACAAGAATACACTCCCTGAGGAGGGAAAAAAGCAATTAGTAAGCAAAGAAGGGACCAGAGCACAGGCTGCCTGGGCAGCTTCTTGGTGTGAGGTAATTCAGTGCCACCCCATTTTCCTGACAGGCGCTCTGCTGAATCACACTGGGAGAGAGACTGACTCTTTTCACTTGGGTTTTGAAATTTTAAATGTAACTTTTAAAATTTCTAATAGTTTCTTCTGAAAAAGCTACTGTGTCAGAACAGAAGTAAATTTCACCTCAACCATTGGCTCAGGAGGTTTGGCTATGATTATCAGCAGTATGGGGGAATGGTACTTGGACCTAGTTTGCCCATGTCATGGAAGTGCTGGCCATTGAGACTTTCTTCAGAGGACAGGCACAGTAAGTTAGTCAAAATCTCCCTTTCCCTCTTTTGCTTTTTCAAATGTGTTTTTCCTTTCTTACATCAGAATATATGCGCATATACAAATCTTGCCATTGTGCTGAAAATATGATTTTTGTTCTCTAATTTATCCCTGTTGCTCTGTTCCTGTAAGAAAAACACTGACAACCAGCACTGTCTCCAGTGTTCAGTGAGGTGCAGAGTACAGCAGACTTCTCAGCCACTCTGACCCAGCACAGCTCCTGCCTGGCCACTGGGGCCTATCATGGTGCCTAGGAGCTGGGGTCTCAGCCCAGGCTGGGGAGCACAGCTGCGTCTTTCCCTTGTGCAGGTCCAGTCCATAGCAAGGATGAACATATTCCGAGAGACACACAGATAGCACAGCACAGACAGGACACCTACATGTTCAGTCACACCAGCTGCCAGCCAAGTGCTGCCTTCAGCCGTGCTTGCTCACAGGGCTCATGTAAACACAGACACAGATGATTGAGTCCCCTTCCTCCTTTATAGTGCTGGGGACAGAAGGTCACTGGTGCAGGCACACGGTTAGTGTGACTGGCCAGGTTTGGTTCCCATCACTGCCTCTCTTATTATCCTTTACCTTTTTATCTTAAAAAGTCTGAGTGCAAGAGAACTCCGCATTAAAGGAGTTCCCTTACACCTAGAGCTACACAGCTTCTCAGGAGAAGTGGCAGTGGATGTTCATAAGCATCCTTACTGCTAGCGCCTATCTCAATGTCTGATGCAAGAGATTAGGATATTCCTCTGCTATTAATAGCTGGTGATACAGACTGGATCAGAAACAGCCAAGATTTCCATCTGAAAGCCCTTTCCTGACTCTTCCTCCATACCATATTAACATGGCAATGGGAATTTGCCAACCCACTGCTTCCCAATGAAGTCAGACCAAAAATTGGCTAAGTGTCACAGGATGCCTTTTCAAACCGCAATGCAAACAAACAAACAGAAAGAAAGAAAGAAAGAAAAAAAACAAAAGAGGCAAATGGAGGTTAAATAAAATGGAAACTCCCACTGGGATCCATGTTAGTTGCAGCAGGCCCAGTAAAGCTGTCTTAACCTCCAGGCAGAGGGCAGAGGTGCTCAGAAGTGTATTATGCCTTGACTGCAAAGTACATTAACCATAGCCACCTCTGTGCTCTCTCAGAGTAGGGGTAAGAGGAATGGTCCTGATGGAACTTTGTGGGGGAGTCTGGGTTTGGCCTGCAAATGCAGGGATGACAATTTTTCTTCCTAATTCTTCTCAGTTTGAAGTAGGCATCGATCTGAATTATTCTCTTTTCTCTGGAAAACACTGGAAGCACTAATTTTTACCAACTATCATTACAACAAGAGATTTGCAATCTTTTTAGTTGTGATGTCTGTATCTAGGCAGTACTACTATGTAACACGCAAAATATCTTATTATTCTATTCTAATTATTCTATCTCTATGCTTCTCTTCCAGTCTTTCTACTACCTTAGAATGAAGTAGAGGTGATTTTGCCCCTCTCTTCTTTGTGGCTAAATGCAGCTTGCCAACAAATCTGTTTCCTTTTTCTTCCCTCATTTTTTTTTTTCCTCATTTCTTTCTTTTTTCTTTTTTCTTTTCTTTTCTTTTCTTTTCTTTTCTTTTCTTTTCTTTTCTTTTCTTTTCTTTTCTTTTCTTTTCTTTTCTTTTCTTTTCTTTTCTTTTCTTTTCTTTTCTTTTCTTTTCTTTTCTTTTCTTTTCTTTTCTTTTCTTTTTTTTTTTTCTTCTTTTTTTCTTGAAAGTAGTTCGTAATCATTTAGATTTATTCTAATTGCTCTGAACACATATTTGGTAATAAAAAGTCATCAAACTGGCTGACAAGTAGGTTAAGATGATGGAGAGCCTCGCACATCTTTCTGCATTGTTGTCTCGAGAGGAAAATGTACTTAGCCATAAACTGACAACAGTTAGAATCACACTTGGAAAAAGATGGATCAGTGGCTTCAGACACTACTGAGCAAATTCTATTCTTCTATATGCCAGCATCATCTAGAAAATCCAGGCAGTTTAAGTGCTAAAAACTACAAAGTACTGTGTAAACCTCACATCAGCCCCTGATTCTGCAACTATAAAGGTCTGTCCCTCACACACAACTATCACAAGATATTAGCAGAGCCAGAAGCAATGTACTTGTCTTCAGCAGGATGGACGTCCTGCCATAGTGCTCCTTTAACTACACTTCAGCACCTAGCTGTTGGAGGCACTTAAAGATCTATTAAACATATGAGGTCCCTGCTGCTCATTCAAAGACAGTGAGAACTTGCTTTCCAGACATTTGGAAAGAGAAGTGGTCACATAAGGTAGGAATTTGTAGGAGATGTGCTAACAGCCACAAAATTCCCCATTGAATTCAAGTGATTGCCTTTGGAACAACTCTTCCTACTTGTGAAGAACTGGATGTGGTCAGTTCACAAAAGTCAGATGAGAACATCAAGTTTTTAGCAAAATGAGAAAAAGAAATATTTAGGTAAATTGATAAATAAAAGGCTAGTGTCATTTAATGTGCACTCTGATTTATACACTTGACAATTTCTTTCTAGACCAAAGAGAAAATGCTGTATGCACAGAGCCCATAACACAAATTGAGATCATCTTGACATGAAAAATACCCATTATATGGTGAAACACTGAGAGGAAAATAATTAAGTTTCCTCCCTCCATAGATGGAACTTTCTTTCTTCTCCCTCTTTTCTTTTTTCTTTCCTTACACAGATACCGTGGGAGCAGGCAGATGGCATGGGGAACAGGGAAAGACTAAGTGGAAAAATAAAATATACTTTCCCCAGTCTGGGAAGCACATGCTTAGAAAGGAATTCAGAGGTTCAAGCTCTCTGCTTATTCTTCAGCTGTGAACTGTCATTGTGCAAAGAAATAAATTTTTTTATTCGTAATTACAGTCCTCTGAAAAGTGTTTTCAGGAATAATGTTATGGATATCTCTAACTTCTTGTCCTGGTGGACCATGGGAGTGTGTCAGGTGGAAGAACAGTCCTATGGCAATCAACTGGGCTCACAACAGGAGGGAAATATTGGAGTAAATGAGATTGTATAATCATCTTTGCCTTGAACTAGAAAAGTCAGTGACCTCAAATTACTTTTTTCAGTTCCCTTATGAAGGAAGAACTCAGGTAAGTACACTAGAGGTGGACAACATGCCTTGGTGAAGATGCCCCTTCCTGGAATTGTGAGGAGAACTTGAACTTAGAATTGATAAGTTGCTTTTGAGTGAGTCAGCACATGAAGCTTTAAAAACACGTCATGATGCCCTAAGGCTCAGGAAATCCATGGCAGCTACTACTGTCCACCAATGAAACTTATCTTCTACATCTTTAAATGCCTCCAGTGTCATGAAATATGTGTGCCAGAGGCTGCCAGTACAGTCAGGAATTACATATTTTACACAAGCCTTCCTGCAGGAACTTGTAATTTTCATCAGAAGAACCCCAACCAGGCAAAAAAGAGGAAGAAACCTCAGATTTAAGAAAAACAGAAAGGTGCTAATACCAGTGCCAATCAGCAAATCCAATTAATGTCATGGGCAGCCACAAGAGATCATAGGAACTAGAGATTGGCTGTGAACTTTTAGTGATTCTTATCACTAAAAAGTCTTTAAGAGAGATTTGGCATTACAAGGAAAAAGATCTAGGTAGGCTAATCCAGTATTTAACTGACAAATGGACTGGACAAAATCTGGAAGGTCATCCCCAAGGAATTGTTACACTTCTCTTTGCTGCAGTGGTCCTCCTTTCCTCTGCCCAAAGATGTTCTCTGTGGTCTCCTTTGAAATATGATCATGAATTCTCATTCTAGATTATCCCTGTTGAGGAACATACTGTTTTAGTATCTATTAATCTGGCATGAGTTTATCTGTAGCCTTTCTCCTTCCTTGCAGGACATGACTGAAAATGTTCATGCTCTGTGTGAAACATGAGCATCTATCTATTTGAAGTGTTTATAAGATTCCCAACTTTATGGTCCCAGAATGCCCCATTCATGATGCAGAGGCCACTTTGGCCACAGTAATGATTTGAAAATGTCTCACTCAACATCACTGCTGGGATGTTGAGGGAAAAAGAGCCAGAAAATGTAATTTGAATTTCTGGTTACACACAAGAGACCCAGTTTTCAAAGAGGTGGCAAACAGCAGTGAAGAACCAGAGTTCTATTCACATTAACTTTACTCATGTGGCATCATGCAACCTCTGTGTCTCAGACTCCCTGTATCAGAAATTGTGGGTGCTGTATAATAGCAAAAATGTGAATCCATGCTATTGCAGAAAAAGCTGTGGGCCTTTCTTCCACAGAAGCCGTAAGCAATTAGTTTGACTGGGGAGTTAAAACTTCAGCTGCACTATGCTGCTTACTTTCCTTTCATTCTTTGCACCTTCATCTCTGCCAAAAACCATCCTTACTGTTGTTTTTGCACACCTTGGACAAAATTACTCTACTCGTTACACTTCATAACCTTCACTTTGTTTTTTCCTTCCCTTTGCCTAAAACCAACTCATTCAAA